CTTTTATCATCCAAGCTAAGTTTGTCCTGTGGATCTTGTAAGGCAGACTTCAGTAAAGATGAGGACACGATTCTATAGGGTAAGTCACATCAATTGCTATGTAATTTGTGACTGTTTCCATTTGGATGTTGTTGTTGTTTTTTTTTTTTTTTTTTTTTTTTTCTAGATGTTTTCCACGCAAATGTAGATGTTTGTAGATATTTTTTGACTCCGTTTTGGATGTTTTTTGTCAAAGAAAAGTGGCAACACTGGTTAGGGCTGTATGAACGGGTGGTATGATTTTGTGTACGTTTGTGTCAGTGTGTGCATGAGTATGTTTATGTGTGTATGTGTGAATATGTTTGTGAATGTGTGTGTATACATGTATGAGTAAGAGTGCGTTTGTGTGTGTTTGTGTGTGAGAGAGAGAGAGAGAGAGAGAGAGAGAGAAGAGAGAGACATAGAGAGCTGATATATATATATATATATATATCTATATATATATATATATGATATATATATATATATATATATATATATATATATATATATATGTGTGTGTGTGTGTGTGTGTGTGAGCCCGTGCGTGTGTAGGAATGTGTATGCATGTGTGCGTGTTGCACTGTATGTTATACATGTGTATATTCTTGTGTGTGTGAAAGTGTTTGCGTGTCCTGTATATGTGTGTGTGCGTGCGTGTGTGTTTGAGTGCGTTTTCTCTTTCTTTTTTCTTTTTATTTGCCTCTCTCTCTCTCTCTCTCTCTCTCTTTTTCTCTCTCTCTCTCTCTCGTTATCGTGGAGCATAGACCCTCAACCTTCTTCTTCTTCTTCGCTTCCACTTTGTACCTCAGCGAAGTGTCGGGGGGAGATGTAATGTTCGTTGATGAGCTCTGTCAAGAGCATTATTAAGACTGATGTACATTTCTGTAAGGCTGTTCTTAATGCCATCACTCCATATTTTCCGAGGTCTTCCACTCGCTCTATACCCGTTGTAACGTTTTAGTGTGGCTCGCTGTAACGGATAGTACCAGGGCATTCTTGTTAGGTGTCCAAACTACTTCATTTGTTGTTCTTTGTTGAACTGTAAAACTGGCTTTATTCCTAGCATTCGTCTGATTTCATGATTTCGTACTCTGTCTTTCCTTGAAACTCCTGCAGCTCTTCTAAGGCATTTAATCTTTGTTGTCACAATTTTACGTTCATTGGAGGATGTAAGTGTCCACGTTTGGCATTGATAGCATAGTGTTGGCCAAAAAATAGTTCTGATAAGATTCACTTTAGTACTCCGAGGTATCAGCTTGTGTGTCAACAGGGGAGATAGTTGACCCATTACTTGATTAGCTTTGGCACATCTGGAGCTAATTTCTCTGTCCAGTTTTCCGTCTGATATAAAAATTGCTCCCAAATACATAAATTCCTCTGTTTGTCTCAGGGTGTTGTTTTTTAATTTAATTTCTAAATTGTCTTTATGTCTTCCTATCATCATTGTCTCTGTCTTCGTAGTGTTTATTTTCATATTATATTCCTCCCCTTTGTTACTAATTTGATTTAGGTGGTTCTGTAGGCATTCCGTATTTTCTGCTATGAGAACCTGGTCGTCGGCGAAAAGTAATTCTGTAATATCTTCTTCATGATTAAAGTTCGTTTCGCTACATATGGTATCCATGTATGTTATAAAAAGAAGCGGCGATAGTACACAGCCCTGAAGCACACCAGAGTTCACTATAAAAGTTCTTGACAACCCTGCCTTCGATCCTATGCAGCATTTACTACGTGTGTACAGGCTTTTGCAAATAATAATGAGATGATTGCTGATTCCTTTTTTAGTAATTTGCAGACCACAGACCTCTCTTTCTCTCTCTCTCTCTCTCTCTCTCTCTCTCTCTCTCTCTCTCTCTCTCTCTCTCTCTCGTGGAGCATAGACCCTCAACCGATCACGACAAATCGACCTATCCTTTGCTATCCTATCCAGCTCAACACCTGCCATCTGTGGGTCCCAGTACTAAAGACTTTCTAGTTATAATATTCCCATTATTTCTCAGAGAGTAACCTATCCTGCGCCAGCTCTTTGCCTAAACTCTTGATTCACTAGAACACGTGTAGTTCTCTCTCAGAGCTCCATATTGTCATACCATTTAATGGTTCTTCTCTGTTGTCACCACGTCAAGCGAGATTTAAAGAAATTCTATAGAACAGCAAGAGTTAGGGTTAGTGCTAGTGTTAAATGAATAGCGACTTCTAGTAACCCTAGTCGGCTCTGTGGCTAAGTCGATGAGAACACTTCGTAATGCCGTAGTGCCGGGTTCGATCCCAGCTGCGGGCCATGCGCCTTGCGTTGGTTTCGACAGTGGTATCAAGAAGCTGACCGTCCAGAAGCAATAGCAAACTACTGGACGTAAATTTGCTTAGAGAAACCATACAACAGCTAGGAGCTGCTAGGGTTGGTTCTGCAACGTCCTGTAAAGGATACACAACTAATCAGTAACCCTAACCTACCTATACTATGTGAATTTCCTAAATCTCGCGTGATGTGGTGACTTAATAGAAAATAACCCATTTAATTGCCTGAATTCGGCTCAAAGCTCGCTAATTAGTGTATGGTTTTTTTCGTATTTGTTTTAGTTGTTCTTGTGTTTCAGCTCACGCGACACTATTGATTTGACATTAGTGCTTAATTTTGCTACGGCTAGTGTATGACCATGTGTCACGCCTTTGGACGTATTGGGCCAATGTAGGACTAGACCTATATTTTATGGACCAGATACTCGGTGGGTAATGTGGTCAGCATCATTTTGGACGCCTTTACCTCCCAGAAATGTTCCCGGTACCTACTCAAGGCTGGGTCGACCTGGGAGACTCCAGTAATGTTTGAAGAAAAAAAAGTTCTGGCTCCGTCAGGACTCAAACCCACGATCCTCTGATATCAGCTAGCGAGCGTCTAATCGCTACACCACCGCGACTCTCTTGAGTAGTAGAAACTGAGTACTGATAAAAACTATGCCACATTTCGCATTTGTTGTTGTTGTTGTTGTTGCTGCTGTTGTTGTTGTTGTTGCTGTTGTCCGGACTACCCTTTCACCACATTACGTCAAATATTGCAGAGTCTTCTGTACTTAATTGTTCAATCTGTCTTCCTCAGAACCGCCGAGACATCATGACCCAGGGGACGGCAAATGAAACAGAATCGGCGGCAATGACCCCAACGCACCAGCCAGTCAGCATCGAGACCATCATCCTCGTGGTCATGCTGACTGTGTTCTTCATCGTTGGTTCCATCGGCAACGGATTAGTGGTGTTTGTTTTCCAAGTAAGTGTCTTGTCTGTTGGATCTGAAGCAGTGTTTCTCAACGTAGGGGCCCACGCCCTACAGGGAAAGTGGTGCAATTTGACTGTTTAAGGCAACTGGAAAATAAAGTCATCCAGAGTTTAGGATTAACTGTCTGGTGATTTTATATAGAGTAGAGGCGAGAGGATCGAGGATCGACTTTATTGCTCAAAGCCAGCTGCCTGTCGAGAGCGTCGCACAGAGCACGACCTTCGTACCAGGGATCTCCATAAATATTGTACTCGTGAACCAAATAGTCCCGCCGTGAAACAAACACACCACCTTCAGAGCACTAGGACGCGAGGCAACGGCTTTACCACTTGGCAAACACAAACATACACATACACATACAACAAGTTAAGAAAGACTGATCTAAAGTGACGTCGTAAACAAAATTGTCATTGGAGTCGAGCTGTTGACAAGAGGTGCTAAAAACAAAATATTTAGTTATTAGTTGATAAAGATTTTGGTCGAAACGTTCGCTTGTATTTTTACATGTTTTCTATTCCCTCTGTTGTGAAGTTTCTACTCGCATTTGGTTTTGTAACACGTATTTTTTTCATGGCAAACAAATGACGTTGTGGCGATTAGCCTTCATCAGCCGAATAATCGCGAGAAACGCAATACCTCCAACAATTGACAGATGTTGTCGTTGCTAAACCCGACCAGGACCGTACAACGGGTGACCAACATTCGAATGCGAATCACGCGAGCACAAGTCCTAGAAACCCCGTTCAACCCATATGTGTGGTTACACTAGGGCCCCCGACAACTGAATGGATGGGGCTTGGAGATACCGAAAAACTGCCTCCAGTGTTGGGACGACTTCACAATTGGCAGACTCTGAAATTACTGCATTTCAGTATTCACATAGCACAATAATAAATAAAACAAAATAATAATATTAATAAACATATGCAACAAAAAATAATAAACAAATAAAACTAAGTAATAATAATCAAGAAATTAAATAAAACAAATAAAATTTAAAATTAAATATAAACATAATAATTATAAAACAAAGTACCCGATACTTTCCTGGACCTCTCAGAATAATCTGTGACACCACACACAATTTAGTAATTCGTTGATAAAGACTTTGATCGAAAGGTCACTTTCTGGCTACAATAGCCACCGCGGTAGCAGCAATCATTCTGGACAAGGCAGGGACTCTAAAAGAACATTTGTGACCAAATGTTGATGGAAGACACAATGCCAGATTGGACAACGTTTGTGAGATTGCGTAAGTGTGGCATTATTTGTGGATCTGGCAGGAACAGACCTATGTCAGGAAGAATGTGATTTGTCTACATCTAGTCTGCGATAGGACGAGTGACATCTACATTTGAAGATGACATCTACATTTGAAGATGACATCTACATTTTAAGATGACACCTACATTTTAAGATGGCATCTACATTTTAAGATGGCATCTACATTTTAAGATGGCATCTACATTTTAAGATGACATCTACATTTTAAGATGACATCTACATTTTAAGATGGCATCTACATTTTAAGATGGCATCTACATTTTAAGATGGCATCTACATTTTAAGATGACATCTACATTTTAAGATGACGTCTACATTTTAAGATGACATCTACATTTTAAGATGACATCTACATTTTAAGATGACATCTACATTTTAAGATGACATCTATATTTAAAGATGACGTCTACATTTTAAGATATTTCCCGAGGAAGACATCAATGGACATGTCTGGTAAGGTATGATTAGGATTCTGAAAATAGTAATCAGTTATTTACAATATCAATAATAAGAAGAAAAAGAATGACAACAATAAAGTAAGTGTACGAAAAAGTTATTTGCGTATCTTTTACAGGACGTTGCAGAACCAACCCAAGCATTTTTCTGCCTGTTGTGCTTTTACTAGGCAAGTTTACGTCCAGTAGTTTGCCATTGATTTCTGGAAGGCTGGCTTCCGATTCCACTGTCGAAACTAACACAAGGTGCTAGGCCCGCAGCTGGGGTCGAACCTGGCACGTCGGCATTACAAAGCGAGCTCGTAACGCCTAAGCCACAGACGTCGACAATAATTGTGTATTGGAAAAAGAATTGTTTAATCATATATTCAAAATTATATTAAATATAATTTTTAAAAATACTGACATAGAGACAACGAGAGTTGTTAAATACAGACGGAGGCTTCAGCCCTGTTACAAAGTTTCCAGGGACGGGAGTGGACCTCGAATGACCTAGGTGCCCAAGTACCGGTTCCTCTGCGCAAGCGAAAGATTGCATCGCTGTGACATATTCAAGAGCCGGCGCAAATGTAATCAGACCTTCTCTTTAAACTTTGAAGATGAACCACGCTGGTCTAAAAACATGAACATTTTTGTTTGTCTGTTCGTGGCACATTCGGGTCCCTTTTTAGGAACGAAAATATCCAGTTACTGCCCCTGCCGGAAATGAATTCTGGTGAAAGAGTTTATCGTTACTGTCTGGGAGGAAATGGAGAATGGTTAACTCAAGAATCACGTGTTTGGCAGCCATATTGTGTAATATTTGAGAAGAACTTTGTTAATTCATGCTTTTTCCTTTTTTTTTTTAAACTCGAAGCACGGTTGAATTACTATATTTTTTGCAGTTTTATAAATTAAAACCTCGTGATTATGTTCCCTGCCTGTAGCGCATTTTCCTAACCTGGTTTTGGCCGTCCATTTCTCAATGTAAGATGAATATGCTGTTCCGTTTTCACTAGAACAATCCTGTATTTTTAGGTGTGCTCCGTCCGTACCGTCGGTACTCCAAAAACAACGCAAATCGTCCTGTTTTATAAAAGTATGTGATAGAACATACACTTTTACCTTTGCTTTATACACTTATAGTAACGTGTGTAGACCTTATTAGATTTCACAGTTTTTATATACTTTTAATGCCTAAAGCTGTTGATGAGAATTGTCATTGGAGCATATCTGGGCGTGCCTGTGTGTGTGCGAGTGTGTGTGTGTGTGTGTGTGTGCGAGTGTGTGTGTGTGCGTGTGCGTGTGTGTGTGTGTGTGTTCCGCCAGTGCAAAAAAAGAGCACATCGCTTCGTGTATTTCTTGGGGACAGTGATGCGGATCTTAATAGCATTATCGAATGAGTAATTAACTCTTTTACCCGGGTGACACAAAAAAAAGGTGATGTTGAACTGAATTGTTTGTGATGTCCCGTGTTAGTGGGAATGTCTCGCTTTTAGCTCACAGTCTTAGTGGGGTGTCCTATTTTTACCTTAAAGTGTTAGTGAGATGTCCCGTTTTCAATTCAGGGTATTAGGATCACCTTATCTCAGTGTTACATCACCCACCAAGTGCCGATAGGTCTATAGCACAGTAAAAGTCTAGCCCTTTATTCCTAATACGCCTAAAAGCGTGGAAAAGGGACCTAACTTTCTTACTATATCAGTGTTACTTATTAAGTATAGTAATACCGTTATGATAAGAAAGAGACCAACACTGTTCTTCGGCCACATAATGAGAAGAGGGACATTGGAGAACATCGTGACAACTGGAAAGATCAATAGAAAAAGGGGTAGAGGTCGACCATGAGAAACGATGCTAGATGGGCTGAAACGATGGCATGGAGGGATATCATCAAGAGAGCTAGTTTCAGGCAACCAGGGATTGTGATCTGTGGAGGCGCAGGGCACATGATGATGATGACGAATACCATTAGAAGGAATTTACAATAGGAGTCCCAGGGGCATATAAATAAAGACAGACAAACATTTAAAAAAACATGACGAAGAAAACTAGATAGTGAAATTAAATTAGAAAAAAAAAGGAGGGAGTATGAAATCAGCTGCATGCGATAGCAAAAATTGGGACGGCTAGGCAGGAGTTAGTTGAGGGCCTATGCTCTACGGAAAAATAACGGACAGAGAGGAAGGGGGGGGGGGGGAGAGTAAAGCTAATTGTTAGGTTAGTTAGCTCGTTAATCAATCTGCCAGTCAACAATCAGATGATTCAGTCAGATGATCGGTCAGTTGGTTGAGTGGTTGATTGGTTAGTTGGTTCTTCCGTTGGCTGGTTGCTTGATTAATTGGTCTTCGGTTAGCTGGTTGCTTGGTTAGTTGGTTCTTCGGTTAGCTGGTTGCTTAGTTAGTTGGTTCTTCGGTTGGCTGGTTGCTTGGTTAGTTAGTTCTTCGGTTGGCTGGCTGCTTAGTTAGTTAGTTCTTCGGTTGGCTAGTTGCTTAGTTAGTTAGTTCTTCGGTTGGCTGGTTGCTTGCTTAGTTAGTTCTTCGGTTAGCTGGTTGCTTAGTTAGTTAGTTCTTCGGTTGGCTGGTTGCTTGGTTAGTTAGTTCTTCGGTTAGCTGGTTGCTTGGTTAGTTAGTTCTTCGGTTAGCTGGTTGCTTGGTTAGTTAGTTCTTCGGTTAGCTCGTTGCTTGGTTAGTTAGTTCTTTGGTTAGCTGGTTGCTTAGTTAGTTGGTTCTTCGGATAGCTGGTTGTTTGGTTAGTTGGTTCTTCGGTTGGCTGGTTGTTTGGTTAGTTGGTTCTTCGGTTAGCTGGTTACTTGGTTAGTTGCTTCTTCGGTTAGCTGGTTGCTTGGTTAGTTAGTTCTTCGGTTAGCTCGTTGCTTGGTTAGTTAGTTCTTTGGTTAGCTGGTTGCTTAGTTAGTTGGTTCTTCGGATAGCTGGTTGTTTGGTTAGTTGGTTCTTCGGTTGGCTGGTTGTTTGGTTAGTTGGTTCTTCGGTTAGCTGGTTACTTGGTTAGTTGCTTCTTCGGTTAGCTGGTTGCTTGGTTAGTTAGTTCTTCGGTTGGCTGGCTGCTTGGTTAGTTAGTTCTTCGGTTGGCTGGTTGCTTGGTTAGTTAGTTCTTCGGTTGGCTGGTTGCTTGGTTAGTTAGTTCTTCGGTTGGCTGGTTGCTTGGTTAGTTAGTTCTTCGGTTGGCTGGCTGCTTGGTTAGTTATTTCTTCGGTTGGCTAGTTGCTTAGTTAGTTAGTTCTTCGGTTAGCTGGTTGCTTGCTTAGTTAGTTCTT